TGCAGACCCCTTTCCTCTTCTCCCTTGGACAGACTCCTTGTCTTTTCACCTCCAAGTTAAAGACCTCCTGCTCCCAGCCCAGGAATAGATCTGCCTACTCCAGTTGGACCTCCCTGGCCGGGGGCTGCCCCAAGTTTCCTGCTTGGATCTGGCTCTTTTAGCTGACCTAGTACCAGCCACAAAGCAGTGAACAATAGAAAAAGGCCTCCATTGACCCCCAGAAAGGCAGCCTAGCCAGCCAGCCCATCAGTGTATCTGGCAGCAGGATGTGGGTATGAAAGAGGTAATGAAAGGTGTAACATTTAGGGAGTGAAGAGTAAGGACAAAGGACTTGGGTAGGTGGGGAGAGGAGTTGTCTGTATCCAGGAGGCAGTTGATTGATACCCAGGGTATCAATAACAACCTGGGACCATTTGATGGGGGTGGGTTCTGTGCTGTACTGGGAGGAGAGGGGGGAGGACATGGTAACAAGGCACATGGTACAATCAGTGCATTGGGTGTATGGTGGGTGTGGTTGGTGTGGTTCAGCCTGGGAACCTAATGGGGCACCATGGCTGGTGCATATGGTGATGGTGGTGGGGAATGTGTGTTGGGGTGTGTGTGTGTGTGTGTGTGTGTGTGTGAGAGAGAGAGAGAGAGAGAGAGAGAGATTATATGACCTGGGGGCCACTGGAGGGAGACAGGAGTCCAAGTAACCTGCACAGTGTGAGAACCGCTGACCCCAGAGGGTAGGCAGTGTCAGGGGGTACAACATGGAATTCACTCACATGGGACCAGGCACTTTTCATGCTCACTGTTAATGATGATCTGGTAGCAAGCTGGAGAAGTTAGGGGACCCTTGGGCTTAACCCGGCCCTCTCACAGAATCACAGAGCTGGATGGGGCCTTCAAGATGATCTCATTCAGCTCCTTCATTTTACAGGGGAAGCTGAGGCCCTGAGAGGGGAATACGATGAGTCAGTAGCCTAGCCAGGTATCTAATAATAATCATGACAGCTAGGGCCTTTATGGTTTGTAAAGCATTTTATGTTCTCTACCCAAATCCCAGAGGGTAGGAACCTGATGCTTCCTCCAGTGTTGAGGGACCACATAGAAGCAACAGGAAAGAAAGGGGTGAGGTGAGATGTCAGGGTTGGCAAAACCTCCTATTTCCACCCCCTCAACCAAGCTCCTTGGTAGTCTGATTAAACAGTAATGGAAAGAGCAGGAGACCTGGTTTCTAATGTTGGCTTGGCCACTCATTCTCTTTATGACTTTGGTCAAGTCCCTTCTCATCTCTAGGCCTTAGTTTCTTCATCTGTAAAATGAGGGGATTGGGCTAAATGTTCTCCTAGTTCCCTTCTGGCTTTTTCTGTGAATCGAGGGACCTGGACTCTGCCCTTACATAGCTGTGTGTCTTTGGGCAAATCATTTCCCTCTCTGAGCCTCAGTTTCCTGATTAGTAAAGAGAAGAGCCTCTAGGGCATCTCCCAGCAATAACATTCCATGATTCTATGAACTTACGCTCACTTAAGAGATCAAAGAGGGCCCTAGGAAGGTCCCAGGAAGGAAGAATGTGAGAGGGAGGGACGCGGACAACCAAGGACCAGGCAGGGAACAGAAAGACCAGCTGAGGTAGATCATGTCACAGGAAGGAAGACAAAAGGACACCATAGATACCGCTGGGGGAGGCCTGGGAAGTCAGAGCTAGAGCTTGGTCAAGGCATCCCTGGTCAAAAGCTCACAGCACTGAAGACCAAGGCCTGTCGCCTCCTAGACCCAAGTATCTATCTCTACCCCCAGGAATGGGCTAATGCCCAAGCTTAGAAACAATCACATAAAGTGGCCCAGACTGTGTCAGAAGATCTGGATTTCACTTTGGACTCTGCCATTCACCAGCTGTTTGAGTCTCAGCCTCAGTTTCTTCGGTACTCAAATGAGAACTTGGATCAGATGATCTTCAAGGTCCCTTACAACTCTGAATCCTGGAGACCTGGTTTTGAATTCAGGTCCTGCTGCTTACTAGCTGTCTAACCTTAGACAAATCACTTTATCCCCCTGGGCCTCAGTTTCCTTTTCTGTAAAATAAGGGGTGAAGCTCCAAAAGTGAGCTCCAAAGTCTCTTCAAGTTCTGAATTCTATGAGCCTGGAATGCTGAGACTTTCAAACTGATTTGAAAGCATTTTGGATTTGGGAACAAAGCAAGGAAAGACCTAGAGCCTGTCTGCTTAGATGCTTCAGAGACCCAAACCTCTTTTTTTCCCTTAGAGCTGCCCCCAGATTTTGGGGTTCTTGAATTCCTTTCCATAATCTGGTAGTACAAAGAGGCCTTCATTGGAGATGGAGTCTTTGGGAGCTGAGCCCTATAGGGAATGGGAAGGAAGAGATGTCTTCCGCATTTTCTTGTGAAGACCTCTAGGGAGTCCAAGACTCCAATAATCTTTCAGGCTCGTGCCTGCCACAGATCCTTAGAAAAAGGGAGACCTATATTCCAACCCTGTCTCTGACACTCACTAGCTCTGTGACCTTGGTCATAACCCAATCTCTCTCTGAATCTTAAATTTCCTCCTTTATAAAATGGAGATCCAGGCCAGGGGAACCAGAAAGCCACTCTTGGCTGAAAAATGGAAATACCTATCTTTGGGGCAGGTCTGCAGGTTTAGCTCTCACCTCAACCTGGTCTTAGCCCCCTCCTTCAGCCACATGCTGTTTAGCCCACTATCCTGGGACTCTCCCAGAAGTGGATGTAGAAGGTGGGGAGAGGTGGAGAAGCAGCTCTGTGCGTTGGCATGATAGGGTCTGTACATGATTTTACTGTATGGGGATATTTGTGAAAAAATGTCACATGTGCTTAATGGGGGTTGCATCAAGTGCTATGTATGTGGGGTATGTGTATGTATATATATGCATGATATGTGTGTATACTTGTGTGCACATTGGAAGTTACTTTGTACTCTAAGTCCTGCCCTTTTTTCAACCCTTCCCCCCACCCCCCTTTAGTAGAGACGGTGTCCACCTGAGTGCAGGCTCATGGTTTAGGGGAAAGAACTGGAGGCTGGGTATCAATAAACCTGGCTTCTATTCCTCCTCTGGAGCTAACTTACTGTATAAGCTTCGGCAAGTCACTTCCCATTCCACAGCCTCAGTTTCCTCATCTGTAAAACAAAATGGTTGGACTAGATGATCTCTAACCCCACCCTATCCCCAACCCCAACTCAACTTGGGGCCCTCAGGCATCAAGTTGGCCTTTAAGAGGGGCCCTATTCTCAATTCTCACTCCCACTATGTTCGGTTCATATTTTAGTCATCTGGCCTGGCCTTATCTCTCCCTTCAGTCTCATTTCAGAGGCTGGGCTGGGAATACACCATCCTGATTCTGGGCTTTCTTTGGGAGAACAGGATGTCTCAATCTTGACCCCAGGGCCTGAGTGTTTCTTTTTCCCTCCCGAGGAATACCCTGAGGCTGCCTCTGGTCGGCCTCCCTTGGTCTGAAAGCCCTGGGAGATGTCTACAGCACCCTGGGCTCTGTCCCGAAGCCAAAGGAATCATTTCCCAGGTGCTCCAGGGCAGGAGCTATAGCCATGAACCTGGCTAAGAACCAGAAATTCCTGTTATTCCCCCAAAACCTGAGTTTCCCAGCTGGGAAACAGTTGACAGAATTTATATCCTTAATAATTTGCTTTTTTAAATCCCCAATAATTTCAAAATCATATTTTCCCCTTTGGATGGCAGTTGTGTCACAAAGTGGTCAGGAACCTAGAGCCTTCTGTAAGCCTTAGATTCTAGAATCCACAGAATGTTCCTCATACATGGGTTCCTTACCCCAAAACCCCCCAATAAGGACAGGGTTCAGACCTCAGCAGCAGATCCTAAAAGGGAAAAATTGCAATGCTAGGAAGGTCCCATAGACACACTGTCCCCAGAACTCTACTACAGACAGGCATCTACAACCTGCATAGTAGAGTCTAGAACAAAAAAAAAATGTATAGACTCAGAATATTTCCCAGACAGTATTCTAGAAACTCCTTTATGCCCTGGCATATGGAGGGTATTGTAGTGGATGCTGGAGCCAGAGGACCTATATTCAATTTCCAAGTCAACTATTTCATTCTAGTAGGATCCTGGGCAGGTAACCTCCCTTCTCCAGGCTTCATTTCCCTTGTCTGTAAAATGAAGTGGTTGACTAGATGATTCCTCTAAATCCTATGATCTCAAAGTCTTAACTTCTCCATATCTAGGAGCTTGGCCTTAGGAATCTGGCCCTTGAACAACTCCAAACCTAGACCCTTCATCCTGGCTAGCACCCTTAACCTCAGGAGTTCAGCTTAGCCCAGACACCCTGTGGTGCCTCGGAGTTCAAGATGCCATATGTTACCATATCCAGATCTCAGGTCCCATAGACACTCAAAGGTTGTCACAGCTGGAAGGATCATCTGGTCCAACCTTCTCATTTTATAGCAGAGAAAACTGGGACCCAGAGAGAGGACGTGACTTGTCCAATGACTCATCAGAGCCAAGATTTGACCCCAGATTCTTTAACTTCAAATCCAGTCCTCTTTCATCTAGACCATGGTGCCTCGGTCTTTAGGTATCTGTGATACCCTACAGAGAGTTGTAATTCAGCTAATGGAACCCACAGCCTCTCTGCCTTAGTTCATCAGAGGTGATGGCATTGGTGGTGGGCAGGAAATGCCATATAGAAGAGAAGACTCTGGGCCTGGTGGGGAAGTTTAGCACCAGTTAATTCCCTGGATCCCAGGGAGTTTGATGGACTGTGTATGGGAGCTACATGGGCCAGGGCATCAGTGCCAATGAACTCACCCAAAAAATTACCAAGAAGAGGGGAGGAGGGTTTCCATTGGCTGGGGTCATCATGTTCCCCTCTCTGCCACCCTTGGCCCAAGAGACCTAGCCACCCTTAGACCAACGGCCCTTAAAAACTCTAAGCTCAACACTGACTGGTTTAGGGGAGCAGAGCTGCCATACCCCTTATCCCCTAACCCTGATAGGTATGGAGCAGCCTACACTGTGGTCTCATATTCCAGCAGCTCCCGGGAAGCCCCCATGCTTCGGTATTGCAAGCGAGGGGTAGCTGGGGATGAATACTCAAGTGCCAGAATGGTCTTACGAAGCCGGCGGTCTATAAAGTGGGCATCCCATGCTGGATACTTTTTTCGGGGCAGGTCTATTCGGATCACAGGCCCCTCTGTCCGGGTGGTACGGGCCACTGGTGTGGCTGGGAGGCTGGGCCGGACTTGGAACACCGCTGGTGCACCACTGTCCCGGTCTCCAGGGACCCCATCTCGCTCTCCACCTGTAGTCCGGGGCAGAGACCGCGGAGGGTTGGTAACTGCATCAGCAGAGGGACCAGAAGGGCCAGCACCCACAGCCTCAGGAAAGATGCCCCCGGGAGCCTGGGGACCAAACATGGGCCCATTAGGGTGCAGGAGGCAATAATAGACAAGCATGAAAAAGATGCCCAGGGCAAAGCTAGCAGCCACCACGCACACCATGATTAAGGCGCTGAAGTCAGTGGGGAAGTTGTGGTTCTGGTACCAGAAGCCCGTCAGCGCAGCATTCTCCACCAGGACAATACAGTAGTAGATGGACATCCGGAAGCGGCTGCGTCCCTCCTTGACGTTGAACCAGCAGAAGATGTAGATGATGCCCACCACCATGTTGTAGATGATCTCCTCCCACTTGGACATGCAGAAGTCTGTCTCTCCCTGGATGACCCAGAAGGTCATGACACACCAGTGGGCAACAATGAAGATGCCAAAGTAGAGCTGGTAGATGCTGGCAAAGAGTGCAAAGGCCAAGACTCGAGCAGCTATGGTGAAGAGGTGCCAGAGGATCTGGACTATCGCCCCCTTGTAGGACATGGCTCGCTTGTCGTCCCTTGAGTCCCGAAGCACCTTCTGATAAGAAGCGATTATCCAGGCCAGCGACACCAGTGAGGCTGAGGCTGAGAGACCTGTGGAGACAGGGGCCAGAGGTGGGAGGTGGGGGGGGAGGGGACCAGGGTTAAGGATAAGGCAAGGTCTCCAAAGGGAGGGAGAAAGGAGGTAGTGAGAGGTAGGTAGGAGGGCTCAGTGTTAGGGGCAGGGTCTCTGAGAGGAGAGATAAGGACAAGAGGTAGGTGGTAGGGGTTGGGGTAGGGATAAGGGTCAGGGTTAGGGTCTCTGAGAGCAGATAGGGTAAGAGGTCATAGAACCATAGATATGGAGCTAAAAGGGAGCTCAGAGGTCATTAGTCCAACCTACTCATTTTACAGATGTGAAAACTAAGGCCCAGAGAAATTAAGGGAATAAAAAAAACTGGGATTCAAACCCAGGCCCTCTGACTCCAAGTCCAATACTCTTTCTATCATACCTCCTTCTCCTCACCTTACCTCAGGACGCCTACATCCTGAGGGCAGAGTCAAATTCCTGTAGGGAAACTCCTATAGAGATGATGATATTCTTGAGTACTGAGGAACAGAGAGATGGATGGAATGTGCTGGTGCAGGAGGAGAGGGGGATTTTTGAGAGTGAAGAGAGGGGCAGGGGGCAGGACCTGAGGTAGTTGGGATCAGGGCTAGGTATGAGTGTAGATCAGGATCTCTGAGATTAGAAGTATGTGGGAATCTAGAAGAGGGCAGCTGTGGATAGAAGAGGGGGACAGGGGAAAAGGCAGAGTAAGAAAGTAAGAGAATGAAGAAAAGCAGAGGATAAAGAGAGAGATGAGAGAAGAGGAAAGGAGAGATGGGTCAGAGCCAGCCAAAGGTTGGGCAGAAAATAGAAGCACAGAGTAGACAGGGGCCTGGATGATCCAGCAAACTGGAGGGTAAAAGGGACCCGGCCAAGCCAAACACTTCAGTCCAGCCTGGGGCCACTTAGGTTGAACCCAACCGGGTGATTTTGCTGACTGGGCCAGAGGGCTTTGGGAGGATTAGGACAGGAGCCAAGCAGTTCTTTCAGTCAGAGGATCCCAAGGACACCCCTGGCAGGCCTAGGGCATAGACAGGGGAGAAAGAGAATGAGACAGAGAAGAAGACAGAGGTGTGAACATCAAGGAGTAGGGAGAAGGCCCTTAGCCAGATCTCAGAGGAATGAGAATATGCCAGGGGCCCAGCACCCTGGCCTAAGGAATTTCCCAAGCTGGGGGATCATGCCAAGGGGTCTCCCAGAGAAGGACCGGGAAGAATGAAGGAGCTTTAGATGAGGACCTGGAGGGAAGAGGAGTTAGGAGCCAGAAAGGTGAGGGACTGGTAAGGGATGGGAGGAAGGATCCCTCAGGTGAGGGATGGGTAGTCAAGGGGCTGAGGGAAACCCAGGGTGAGAGTGGCCAGGAGAGGAAAGCTGAGGGGAGTGGGGTGGGACAAGACTCCTCCTCAGGGAAGGTCTGGGGACACCCTAGGTGGCTGTCAGTGGTAAGAGGAGGTCCTAGGGCAAGGAGCTGGGGGGCCTAGGTCAGGGTGTGAAGGAGGAAGATGGGGGGAGGGAGATGCTAGGCCCTCACCCTGCAGGGCCTCGATGTGCTTCTGGAGGACCATGATGCTGAGCTGTAGCACAAGTTGTGGGGCGCTCTTCAGGAAGGCCTCCAGCAGGCGCAGCATGCTGATGTCAGCGCTCTCGAACATCATGCGCCAGTAAAAGTGGCGCCTCAGTTGCTCCCCATGCCAGCGGCTCTGCAGACCCAGGTACATGGCCCGGAGGTACCTGGGGAAGATGGGACAGTGGGCAGGTGTGTGTGTAAGGGGTAGGGAGAGGAGAGGACAGGAGCTTCCTGGGGCTACCAGACGCCAGCCATGCTCAAGGCTGAGGGATTTCCCCCCAGCCAGGTGGGAAGGCAGGGAGTAGGAGATGACTTCCAGCAGACACTGCCCTGGAGGGAGGGATGGGGACCTTAGTAAGGACAGCTCTTTTCTGAGTGCTTTTTGGTCTACAAAGCACTGTCCTCAATATTCCTGGAGGTCAAAGAAGACTATTCCCATTCTTATAACTGAGTCTCAGAGAGATTAAGAACCTTGCCTTAAATCACTGCTAGCATCAGAGTTAGGATTCAAACCCAAGCCTCCCGACTCCAAATCCAGTGTTCTTGCTACTACATTATGAAGACTTTAAGGTTAATCTAGTCCAGGGTTTCTTAACCAATTTTTGCATCATGGGTCCCTTTAGCTGTCTTCAGAAGCTTATGGGCACCTTCTCAGGATAATGTTTGTTGCCTTCATTCATCATGGAATGCTAAATTTCAGCTAGAAGTTAATGAAAATAAAGATGCAATTTTTTTCCCATCCAAGTTCATGGATCCCTGAAATCAATCCACAGACCCCTTAGTATCCAGGTTAAGAAAGGAAGGAAAGAATCATGTATGCACCTCCTGTGTTCCAGGCACTGTGCTAAGCACTTTTTACAAGTAGCATCTCATTTGATCCTCACAACAAAACGGAGAGGTAGGTACTATTATTATCCCTACTTTATAGTTGAGACAAGTGAGGCAGACAGAGGTTAAGTGATTTGCCCAGGGTCACACAGCTAGTAAATATTTGAATCCAGTTTTGAACTCAGGTCTTCCTAACTCCTAACTCCTGAATTCCTAACTTGCCTTGTATCCACTATGCCACCTTGATGTTTGTTCTAGTCCAATCCCCTCATTTTATAGATAAGGAAACTGAGGCCTAGTGACTTGTTCAAGGTCACACTTTGAGCTACTAGAAGAACCAGAACTCATTTATGAATAATCATAATAATAAATCCCATTTCTATAGCCCTTTAAGGTCTACAAAGTATTTTTTTCTCATTTGCACTCCTCTCTCTTTGTCTTCCGTTCCCCTTTCTTCTGTCCCCTTCCTTTCTCCTTAGCTGCCAATGCTCTCTGCTGAACTCATCCTTTGAGGATGCTTGTATGGCAAGTATTGTCAACCCTGTTTTACAGACCAAGAATCTGAGGCTCAGAGAAGTGAACTCCGTTGCCCATGGTCCCATGGCTAGTAAGGTCAAAATTTCCTCTGGGATCTAGTTCAGCTCTCCTGAAGCCAAGCCTAGTGCTCTTTCCATCACAGCGGCCTCCATTCTCTGGCTGAGGTCCATGGCTGCAGCTCAATGCTGACTCAGAGGAGCATCAGGTTGGGGGATCAGAAGTAGCAGTATAAGCAGGAGCTACTGGGGAAGCTGGGACTGGCCCCGTGTCCTTTGGAGGGGATCCAGACTCCCTCCCCCACATCCTTCCTCTCCACTCCCACCTCCCTACTGAGGGTCCCTCAGGCCTCACCTTCTGCAGCCTTGGGGGCTTCCAGGCCTGCCACCAGGGACCCTGGGACAAGTGGCCATTATTTACAAGAAGCTGACCCAGCCTGGCAGTCTTTGTCACCCTCCCCTCTTCCATATTCCCTGCAGCTCCAGGCTCCTACAGGAAGAGGATAGCAGCTGGTCCTACTGTGAACAAGGCCTGGGGAGGAGGGAGGAGGGGCTGGAGAAGAAGGGAGGGGGGTCCCAATGGAAGGCCCGGAGTGCCATCTGTTTGCCTGGCTTCAGTCAGGGTGAGGATCGAAGGAGGGCCTGGGACCAGCTCCCAGACCCACCAGCATCGATCACCACATGACAAGCAGCCTCTGCTCCCACCCACCTGCTCTGCCTCCTGTCTTCATTCAAGCCAGTTTTAGACACAGCAAAATGATAATAATATTAATAATGATTTCCCTTTCTATAGCACACCAAGGTTTACAAACCACTCTTCATAACACCCCAGTGAGCTAGGATAGTGCAAATATCATCATCCCCATTTTACTGAGGAAGAAACTAAGGCCCAGAGAAGGGCCCAAGGTCATGAAGCAAGTATGTGGCAAAGCAGAGATTTGAACCAGAGCTAACAACAAACAAAAGATTCCTCCTCCCCCACCCTTCTCTCTCTCTCTCTTTCTCTCTGTCTCTCTCTCTCCTCTCTGTCTGTCTGTCTGTCTCTCTCTCTGTCTCTCTCTGTCTCTCTCTCTCTCTCCCCCTCTCTACAGCAGGAGAGGCAAGCTGCTGTTGCTCATTTCTCTGGTCTGAGCCACTAATCCTGGACTCCCAACTGGACCCCTTCTTCAACTCCCCACCCTCTACAGAAGGAAGCCCCTTCTGTATAATTAGAAGGGAAGAGAGAGGTGGATCTCCTCTTCCCCCTTTGCCCCTGCACTGACCAGCTAATCCCACCCAGGCAAGAGACTGAGATGTCTGCCAACAGAAAAAATCAAAAGATGGAGGAGCCCAGAGTTTTGGGTTTACACTCCATGTGTGGGGCTTTGTGGGGGAGTGTGCCATCTGTTTGAACTGTCATTCTCCATCCACGGAGTCCTCTTGGAATGTAGGGCCTGAGGTTTCTATAACTAACTCTGCATAGAGCCAGGACACCTTGGTCTTTCAGAGAGGATAAATAGTTCACATTTTTGGGGGTAGAGCTTTTGGGTTTACAACTCTTTCCCTATAGCAATCCTGTGTAGGGATAGTGAAGGTGAGGGTGGGGCTTGGGGAGGTAATACAAGTGGTCTTGTGCCCATTTAACAAGTGAGGAGACTGAGGCTCAAGAGATGCCAGTCTTGCCCAAGGTCCCACACCGTGAACTAGGGACAGAAGTAACCCATGGATTATAAATAATAACCTTTGTTTCTATAGGGCTTTCTAATTTACAAAGTGCTTCTCTTAAAACAAGGCTGTGAGAGGGGCAAGAAAAGGATTATTATCCCCTTTTTACAATAGAGGAAAAGGCGCAGTGTTACAGGTTCAAAGCTAAACAGAGCTAAGACTAAAACCCAATCCTCCATAGTCCCAGTTCCTGGGCTCTTCCAAATATGTCCCATGACATTCTATTACTATGCTCAACTTCCCTTTTCCTACATTTCTCTCCTAGGGGTAGAGGTCTATTTATCTTTGGTATCTCTTGGCCCCCCAGGGAAGAAGGGGAAACCAAAGCTTTCTAGGATCTCTGAGATCTTTGGAACTCTCTGTATCATATACTCATAATAGAAAACATCCATAGCCATGATCATGACAGATTTGTTTGGGGTTGGACCAGAGGATGAATTCCCCAATTCAGAGCACAGCAAGCTTCCCTGGGATTAAATAAAGAACTCTGGGTGAGAGGGAATACATACTCTGGTTAACCTCAGTTGCTCTGGGAGTGCTAAAAAAAAAGTTGAAGGAGCACCATCAGATTTAGCGCAGTGACAGAGTGATGGGCATGGAGTCATGAAGATCAGAGTTCAAATCCAGCCTCAGAAACTTACTAGCTGTATGACCCTGGGCAAGTCACTTGACTTCTGTCTGCCTTAGTTTCCTCAACTATAAAATGAGATAATAATAGCACCCATCTCATAGGACTGTTGTGAGGATCAAATGAGATAATAATTGTAAAGCACTTAGCATAGTGCCTGGTATATAAATGCTGTGTAAATGCTCATTACTATTATTAATATCATGTTTGACTCCCAGCTCCAGTATTTACTACCTGTGTGACCTTAGGCAAATCATGGAAACTCTCTGAACATCAGTGTCCTCCTCTATTAAAAGAGGATGTGAATATTTGTATTACCCAGTCCATAGGTATACTGTGAAGAATGACTTTTTTTGTTTTTGTTTTTTTTAGGCAATTGGGGTTAAGTGACTTGCCCAGGGTCACACAGCTAGTAAGTGTCAAGTGTTTGGCCTGAGGCCGGATTTGAACTCAGGTCCTCCTGACTTCCGGGCTGGTGCTCTATCCACTATGCCACCTAGCTGCCCCTAAGAATGATGTTTTAAAACTGAAAAGTGCAATGACAATGTGAATGCTGGTATCTCTAGAGACATGAGGAGGAATGGCATACGCCCCTGAACCAGGGGCTCGAACCTAGGTCCTTTGAATCCAAGCCTGGAATTCTTTTCACTTTACTCCATGTCCTCCTATGACAGACATCTCCATAATATCATTGAGAGAAAAGGTCAGGACTCTAGTTAGGGTGCTATAGAGGGTTCAATGGAGGGGAGGGGGACTCAGTGAGCAGATGGGGTCTCAGTGAGAAGTCCTGACTCTACAATCCTAGGTCAGTCTGCCTTCCTATCTATCTTGCTGATTCTGTCTCAACCATTTGTCTGACCCAGGGCGAATTTGTCCCCTCCAAACATCCTCACCCCCATTCAATGTTAGGTCAGTCTGTATGCCTGTGCTCAGCTGTTTTTCCCTCCACCCCCTTCCAACTGTGGGTCCCTCTGTCTGTTTGGGTGTCTCTCACATCCTTGGTTTTTCCATCTGTCAGTCTCTTGGAGATTCTGCATGTGTCCTTCTCCGTGAGTTTTTTTTCCCTCTTCCTAACTCATCTTAACAGATTCACGCTAAAAATTCTTCTCCTAGAAGGTCCTAATTCTCTCTCCAGAAAACACCCTAGTTACTCCTAAACTGTGCAAACATGAGAAAATGACTGTCACGAACTCGTTTTCTGAAGCATGTTCCTGTTGAATAGATAGGAGTTGGGACCCAATCTTGTGGGAAGTAAAGAATTTAAAACCATGGATCAAATGAACACCTGCCCCTCAGATCCTGGGTCAGAAATCAGAGGTTGTAGGAATAAACTGGAAGGAGTCTTGGAGATAATTCAAATTATTGCTGTTGTTCAGTCATTTTCAGTTGTGTCTGACTCTTCATGACCCCATTTGGGATTTTCTTGGCAAAGATACTGGAGTGGCTTGTCATTTCCTTCTCTAGTTCATTTTACGAGTGAGGAAAGTGAGGCAAAGAGGGTTAAGAGTTGCCCAGGGTCACACAGCTAGTAAGTGTCTGAGGCCAGATTTGAACTCAGAAAG